TTTTTGCTTTAAATTATTTCAACAAAAAATCAAGAGTATTTGATCAGGATTTGAGTTTAAATGAAAGTTAATTTTTGAACCAAAAGTTTTAAAAATTAACGCTAAAACCTAATAATTCAAATTTTAAGTATTAAGTTTATTCTACTATGACATGGATATTAAGAGTTTCAACCGCTAATATGTTCTTTCTGCATACCGACTAAGATTACTTAACATACTAAAAATCAAATTTATCACAAGTTATAGGTAAGGTTTTGTCGGTCGGAGAGTGAATATTTTGGTCCCCTTTTGTTAATTGGGGGCAGGATTACATTAGATTTTGTGGTCCTTTTTTCAGATTTGTAAGGGCATAATAACAATGCCTGCACCAAGGCCATCTAATAAATTCTGTTTGTAGGCCTCGTGGTCCAATGCAAAAACTACCCAAATGTAATGGCACTTGGGGTTGAAAATGTGTCATTTTTGTAATTGTATAAGTCAATCATGACATAACAAAATTTACTTGATCTACTATAATTTATTTGTTAAGTGAGTTTGATGGGTCAATGAATTAGGATTTGTCAACGGATCAACCAACCAAATACCCATTGATCCTTTTTTTTTTGTTTTTTTTGTTTTTTTTGTTTTTGGGGTGGATGGGTTGCAATAATAACTGTGGTGGTGGTGGTGGTGGTCATTGTTGGTTACAGATAAGATGGAATAGTGGTGATGCTAGTGACAATGGTGAGGGCAAAGCTGGGTAGTGACGAATATGACAGAGTGGTGGGGGCAAAAAGAGTGGTTGTAGCAAGGTGACAGTAGTAACAATGGTTGTAGCGGGTGCGGAAGGCGATGGGGTGGTGATAATGACAAGTTGGCAATGATAGTGGTGTTGGCGACGATAGTAGCATTATTAGTGTTGGTGGCAATAGTGGTATAGGTGTTGGTGAAACTAATAACGGTATCAATGGTGGCGCTGGAATGGTGGGTGTTGGAAAGTTGAAATGTAAAATAGATTGACAATTGTATGTAAACTTGTCCACCATGAGAAATGTATAAAACCCTTACTAGCTAATATTTTCATCAAATAATTAGTAATTAATTTTTTATTTAAAATTTTAGCATATTTTTAAGAAGTGTTTAAACTTTTAAGTGATGTGAGTTTTGATTATTAAACACACTTAATTGAAAAAGTGCATAATGTTTTACATGCTAAATTAGATTATCAAACACCGTCAAATACTATAGTTCTACAAGAATACTTCTCGTGTATTCACGAAGAACCCACTATATTCAAGTGTGTTTCACTTGATTGCAAGATAGATAAAATGTGATGAAAATATTGTGAAAAATGAAGTACCCGAGTAGATCTAAATTCGGACAAATAGCCCATGTCCAAGCATAAATAAAGATTTTTGTCAAAACCCCACAAATTACAGAGTTCTAAAATGTCTCAAAACAACTAGCCTACCTATAATCCTACTAATGTAAAATATTCTCCATTGAAATTCCTTTTGCTGAATGGATCAGGACAAGGTTTTTTCCATTAAAGGATGACCAACTATGTTCTAAAAAAAAAGGTTGCATTTAACATCAAGTGAATATTTTCTATGGTTTATAAGTGAACTAAAGCAGAGGAATGTGGGAATAAATAAATAATGTGACTCTCTAACCAAAAGCTTCTTTATACCATTATTAAAGGGTTTTGTGTGTGTGTGGGGGGGGGGGGGGGTACTTGTTAGGGACCTAGGGTACATTATTTTATGTCCCATATGGGGACCATGTGGAAGAACATGCTAATATCACCATTGATATGAAAATCAACCCTATTATTGCATTGTAGTTCCATCATTTGTTAGCACGTGGTTAATTATTGGGGTTGTCCACATATATTAGTTAGGATTTTTTTACTAGTATACCATTTTTTTTTATATATGTCAAAATAAGGAATTCAAGTTTACTCATATATACATGATGAGTTATTCATCATGGAGAAAATATGTACGAGAGAGAAGTGGGATCCAAATGTATTTGTATATGAGGTCGGTTTGGGATTGAAAATACATTTTTTTTTTTTTTTTGAAGTTCATTTGGGTCAGTCCCTTAATTGGGGAAAGTTAGCTGAACTAGGTTTTCAGTGGTAATGATCTTTTCTGATATTAGTGACAACACCAAAGAAGATTCTTTATGATTATCAAGGTATATTAAGAGAAAGAGGATAGCTATATCAACAACTTCGCTATAGACCAATGAGTGGGGTGATTCAATGAGATACATATCGAATTTCTCATATTGAAGTTGGAAATTTCGCTACAAGAATAAGGGATTTTTGTGACAAATTTTTTACGGCGGCTGTGTTTGCCGTCACAAAAAACGTGTTTGTGTTAATATTTGTGGTAGTTATTTTTTCTGCCGTAAATGGTGTCATAAACACAAAAGAAATTTTTGTATTTGAGACAGCTATTTTTCCTGTCTCAAATAATATTTTTATAAATTCAAAAGAATTTTTTATATTTATAACAACTATTTTTCCCGTCGTATATAATATTTCATAAACATTAAAATGTTGTTTTATATTAAAAAATATTTTATAGTTTAAAGAAGAAAAACTCTAAAAGAAATTTGCATTGGCCACAACTATTTTATGTTACAAGTAATATTTTATAAAATTACGTAGTTTAACATTAAAAGAAAATTTCTAGTTCAAAGAAAAAAAATTAAATTCTACAAAGTCAAATTTTTATATCAAAACTAGGAGTGCCAAAATATGACACAACCCGTTAACACGGCATAAAATTAGTGGGTTTGAGTCTTCCTTAAGCCATATGTTTAGTAAACGAATGGACCCGTTACAATACGATTATAAACAAACTAGGTATTGATGAAACCAGTTAGAAGAAATATATACGATATAACTCGTTTATATACCATTTACATAATTGGACAAGCGGTTCAAAGAAATATTGTGCGGCCCTCCGTTGATATATATTCTAACTTCTTTTAGTTCTTTATTGTATATATGTATATAAATATTATTTCAGTATTGTAACAATAATTTTATATTTTTTTCAGATGTCACTGAGAGAGTAGATGGTTCGGGAATGTTGTTCAACTTTTTGCATTAATTTCTTGTACTCATATTATGGCGAGACAATGCCGCCAAAAAAAGTATTTGTAACGGCAAATAGACTTTTTATTACAACACTTTACAGCCGTAAAAACTCTTTTTTCTTGTAGTGTTTGAGGCTATGTTTGGTAACTGTTTTTGTCTATGTTTTTGTGTTTTTGTTTTCAATTTTTGTCAAAAATGAAAGCAAAAATATGTTTGGTAACTATTTTTGGTTTTGTTTTGTTTTCGTTGTACTGGAGACAAAAACAAAAAAATGGAAACAAAAAAAAATGTTTCAAGAAACACCCAAAATAGAGACAACACATGCATAAATGGGTGGGGAATTAATGCGATCCGGACTTCGACTCCTCTTAACGGCAAAACACACCTTTTTTTGGTTGAATTATAAAAATCCATTTCCCCATCTCTAACCCCCTATCTCTCTCCTATCTCCCTCATATCTTCTTTCTTTGTATCAGACCATCGGCCTCCATCGCTACCTCCTCTCTCCCTCATCTCTTCTTTCTCTGTATCAGACCATCGTCCTCCATCACTGCCTCCTCTCTCCTTTCTCTGCATGAAACCTAGAAGCTTTGAAACCCACTTCAATCATTGCTTCTCTCTCCCTCTTCTTTGTGAAACCCAGAAGCTATGCATATATATGCATAGATTGTTGCCTCCAGACGAATCGCCATCTCCATCGCTGCCTCTAGACGAATCGCCACCTTCTTCACTGCCTCCTCTCTCATTTCTCTGTATGAAACCCAGAAGATGTGAAACCCACCTTCATCGCTACCTCCATCTCTCTCTCCTCTCTCCCTATTCTCTGTGAAACCCAAAATTTGTGCATATATATGCACAAATATCTGTTGCGTGTGTATGACTGGCCATTTGAGATTGTTGAATTTGGGATTAAATTGTCATTTAGGATTAGATCTGTGTATATATCATTTGAGATTAATTGTCATTTGTAACTAATTGAATTTACATTTGGGATTATTGAATTATCATTTGGAATTTAATTATCAAATAAATATCAAACATATTTCGGATAAAATTTAAAGTAGTTACCAAACATATATATTTTTTTATTCTCATAATTTGATATACAAAAATGACTCACAAACATGTTTTTTGTTTTAGTGTTTATTACAAAACAAAAACAAAAAATTATCTCTATTTTTAATTTTGTGAAGACGCGAAAACAAAAACGTTATCAAACGACCTTTGAGTTTTGAAATTCACATTAGAGTTTCGGTGATTAACCGCTATGTTAACCTAACTAGATTTGTTCCCAAAAAGAGTAACGGACAAAGTTAAAGACCTCATGATCCCACTAGTAAAAAAACTATTGGCATAGTCTGTGCGCATTTTTCTTTACCCCAGCTCTTTTTTAATTAGCAAAAAAAAAAAAAATTAACTTCACTATTGAGACCATGAACAGGCATATATGGCAATTGAGTTTTGGATTGACCTAGTTTAGCAATGTTGTTGATAACTACTTTATTAACCTAATTTATTTTAATTATTAGATTGATCACGAGTTCTATCTAATATTAAAATTTAGTATTAATCCAACTGTTATAATGAAATCATACTATTAACTCGACAATTTAGATCAAATTTTTATATATCAATAGTATTACTCTAATAAATAAAAAAATAGTTAAACGATTATGGGTGTCCAAGTCAGCTTACTCATATTTCAATTAATATCTTATTCAATTCAATCAAAATTAGATCATTCACGTTGAAATTAGAGTATTCATAAAAAATAAAATTCAACGATCTGAATTTATAATTCGTTTTTATTGTTACTTTAAGGATGGGTTAAACGCTCTAATAATAAACCCAAATTTTCATTAAAAAATTGAGTTTAAATAATTTTAAAGGAAGCGCAGAAGGTACGAAAATAAATGTCAAAACTAAATGGAGCTATCCTACATTAGTTTTGTTTCCCACCCCACTATCTTCTCTGTCCCTTCGATCGCTCTAGATTTGCTTTCACATATCCACCCGTGTGCCTCCATTAATGCCCTCTTCCCTCCTCCGTCCTTTTAACCCCCCTCTCTCTCTCTCAAATTGAACACTGTTCTACGAAAAGAGAGTATGCAGTTTATGGACTCGATGGCTTTTCTCTGTCTAATTCTTTCTTCCATTCTCTCTCTTCTCATCTTCAACTTCATCTTCCTCCGCACCGTCCATTTCCGCCGGCGGAGGCTCCGGCTTCCGCCGGGAAATATGGGTCTCCCCTTTGTCGGAGAGACTCTCCAGCTCATCTCTGCGTACAAGACCGAAAACCCGGAACCCTTCATCGACGACAGAGTATCCAAATACGGCACCGTCTTCACCACCCATGTCTTCGGCGAACCCACCGTGTTCTCCGCCGACCCAGAAACAAACCGGTTCATCCTCCAAAATGAAGGGAAGTTATTTGAATCGAGCTATCCCGGTTCGATATCGAACTTGCTCGGAAGGCATTCTTTGCTGCTTATGAGAGGAAGTCTCCACAAGAGAATGCATTCTCTCACCATGAGCTTCGCCAACTCCTCGATTATTAGAGACCATCTGTTGGTTGACATAGACCGGTTGGTCCGGGTCAGCTTGCAGTATTGGACCGGTCGAGTACTCCTCATGGAAGAAGCCAAGAAGGTATCGTTATTACCTAGCAGATTCTAACCCTCTCTTATGTCTTTATGTTTTGGATAATCAAAGTGATTAGTCAGATTTCCATGGTTTTAGTGGGTGTCATACAAGCCGGCGCACGTTAGCAGAAAAAAGGCATGCGACCACTTACTAATATTGTGTGTCCTATGTTTTACCCATCGTGCATAAGCAGTGTAAACGATGTCGTTTTGGAAAATAAGACTAGATGATCGAATAGCTATTTTTGAGAACCATGGGAGACTCAAAAGTGCCATCATTTATATGTAAAAGGCCATCATTTATATGTAAAAGGACATCATTTTGTATGTATAGCAGAAATCTCGACCGGCTTTAGAGGCATCAATGGAAAATGTGCACGCCTGTGTTCTATTATTCTCCTGCTTTTTAATTATTGTGTTTTGTTTTTTTATATTTGTCAGCTTATGATCAGAAGGGTATATAAAGGATTTGAGTGAGATATTAAAAAGTAACTTTTTTAATCGGAGATTAGTGTGTGATAATGTGTTCAGATTACGTTTGAGTTGCAAGTGAAGCAGCTAATGAGCTTTGATCCTTGTGAATGGACTGAGAACCTCATGAAAGAGTACATGCTCGTCATTGAAGGGTTCTTCACCATCCCTTTATCCATCTTCTCCACCACCTACCGCAGAGCCATCCAGGTATTTACTCCTGCTTTTCTCGCTTACTTTCTGTTTGTTTCCTGGAAAAAAAAGAAGAAGAAAAACCCCTTGTTCTTTGATCAAAACAAGTTGGTGATCGTGTGCATGCATGTCCTTTCTTTTATCTTTTGTTTAGTGATATTTGATATTACTTTTGTGTTTTTGGTTGTTTGAAGGCAAGGGGTAAGGTGGCTGAAGCTTTAATTTTGGTGGTAAGAGAAAGGAGGAGGGAGAGTGAGAGAGGAGAGACAAAGAGTGACATGTTGGCGGCGCTATTGGACGGAGATGGTGGCTTCTCCGACGAGGAGATAGTGGACTTCTTGTTGGCTCTGCTCGTCGCCGGTTATGAAACCACCTCTACCATCATGACTCTCGCCGTTAAGTTCCTCACTGAAACACCCCTTGCTTTGGCTCAACTCAAGGTAAGTTATCATCTCTCTCTCTCTCTCTCTCACACACACACACACACTTAGCATTTTTCTTTGTTTCTGCATTGCCCAAACGAACTTTTATGGTGGACCCAGGCCACCCACAACCACCAATCATGGTGGCCGCCTCCTCCTATGGTTCACCAGTTCATGTCTTCTTATCTATATTCTCTACCAAGCAAAATGAAGATCAAGATCAGAATTATTGGAAACCCAATGTGGGACAACTAATTTTGTGTCCTTTTTTGTTTTTATTCCCACATTATTTGTTCATCCAATTCTCCAAGTCCCATGTTCTTGTCCTATTGTTTGGAAATCCTTATCATTGGAGATTTTTTTCCGATGTAATAATCACAACTTATACAGATATTATTATATGGGATTCTTATATGATGTCCTCTCCCTTGTGATCCCAACTTGGTAGCTTAAGCTACCATACCAAGTAGTACATTACTAACATCTTAGTGCAATAAATTTGAAGTTATGGAACTACAAAATTCAAAATAGAAAGGTCAAATTTAAATATCATTTGAAAATATCAAAAAAAGGAAAAGAGGGGAGGGGGATCGCTCTCGAGCCTCAACTTGGGTTCTACTCTATCAATATGAATGGTTGGATGAGGGATTTTTATCTACTTCGTTTTAATAAACTAAACTTGATTAGTGCATTGGCAACTGTGGAAGTTTGTCATTTACAATGAGTTTTGAATCTTATGTATTTTTGGTAAGTGAATACTTTTGATCATGCCTAATTTAATATAAACCATCAATGAGAATGAGAATGAGAATCCTCAATATGCTAACTAGAATTTCTTATCAAATTTTTTAGGTCAAATGATGTGACATAATTTTTATTATTAAACAAATAAGTTTCATTGATATTTAATGATAAAAATTGTATATAAAAAATTTTTATAAGAAATTTAGTAAACATAACATTAGTCATAGACTAAAATGGAGATAGAGTCTCCCTCCTTCATTAGTTCCATTATTGGGCCTCTTCCATGCTTAAAACTTCAAATAATGGGTAAATATAATATTCAAATATTTTTAGATATAATTTTCTTTTTTTTTTAAAAAAAACAAATTAGTCAAATGATCATCTCTCCATCTTATATGTAAGACCCACCTTATATTTCAGCAACAATTAAATATTTTGTATGTCTTTAATTTGATGATCAATATTTTATCGGTATTTGATTGATAAGAAATTTTATTAAATATTAAATCTTACCACTTATACATCACATTATCACATAAAATCGTTAAATATCTTTAAGATAATGACCAAGGAATTGGACAAATTAGCCACAACAAACATTGACTATGACTATGACTATGACTTTTCTTTTATATGTCCTGCTTTTTTCTGATGATTTTTCTCACACGTGGGGGTGGGGTTGAGGGGGGTGGGGAGATCTCATTAGCGCAGTATCTAAAAGACAAAAATACCCTTGAAAAAAAAAAAATAGAACACCTAGGCAAGTGTGCTGTTGGGAAATGGTATAATAGGGGTTGGTCAAAAGCTGTAGGAAAGTACAGATCATAAAGTCAAAAGTATAAACAGGAAGCAGCAAACATTCGGTGGGGGAGAGAGACTGGAGGACAAAATGATGCCTTCTCAGCTTCTCTCTCTCTCTCTCTTAAGTCCAGACAAAACTCTGCACGCTACGTATTTGTCAGAGTGGTACAAACGATAGACAACGTAGGGGGGCATTTTGGTCAATTGATACCACCTGGTGACATTGCCTACCTAGTCTATGACTTGAATGTGTAGTATGTTGGACCTAAGGTTCTGTGTGTTTTTTTTTTCTGGGAAAGTGGACCCTACCGTTTTGTAGACCCGGATCATTGGCCATTGTGCGGTGCTGATTTCTAGGGGCATCATCTGATGGTTCAAAAAGTGCAGGCCTTTAATGCCCTCTTTGTCAGCACCACCCCTACTACTCACTCCCTCTTTGATACCTAACCTATTTTAACCTACTTTCTCTCAATAAATTAACATCCCCCGTGAGTTAAGTCTAGTGGTATGATTTTAAAAGTCGGTAAGTTCAAATTTGACCGTATTTCTATTATATTATATTATATTATCAAGAAAAAAAAAGAAAAGAACATAACCCACAAGTGATTCTAGGCTAAGATTTAAAATAGAGTGAAAAATTTTGATTTGAGAATATAATTAAAGATCTAATTCAATTTAGTTATTGAATTAATTATGAGGTGTAATGTTAAATGAAATTTACTCTCAATTCAATGGCTAAATTGAATTAAGTCTCTAAATTAAATTTAAATTAATATTTTCCTTTAAAATACTCGATGGGTTTTTAAAGTGTAAATTATAAATCATCACAATGCTTTTTCTTTAATTTTTTTATTTATTGAAAGTGACATGATTTAGTTAGCTATTGACAACTCTTCTATTATAGGTGAGGTAGACATACATATTATACATAATTATACGTAAATAAATTTAATATATACGTGAGAAATATCAAATTGTACACTAGAGTACGATAATTTGTTAGTTATTAAAAAAAATGGTAATCTACTCGTTACCGTGTGTTCTACTTATGGTCTACTTTGTTTAGCTTTATCCTCACATGTAAATATATATACTATTTTGGTCGTTTCATTGTCCGAACAACTTGAAAAATTTTAATTCTTATTGATCCTTTTTATAGGAAGAGCATGATGAGATCAGGGCAAGAAAGTGTGAATTGGAGGCTCTGGAATGGGAGGATTACAAGTCCATGCCTTTCACTCAATGTGTAAGAGCACATAACAGTGACTTACGCAAGAAACTATGAAGTATTAATGTGTTCTTCTAAAGAAAAAAGTTTATGTTGGGTGTTTTTTTCAGGTTGTGAACGAAACTTTACGCGTTGCCAACATAATAAGCGGGGTATTTAGGCGAGCAATGACAGACATCAATATAAAAGGTGAGAGAAAACAAATCCCCGTGTCATTTTCAAAGAAGAGCACTTGGCAAGGCGCTATGTCTTAACTCGGGTACGAGTAAAGATAAAAAAGAAAGATTGTATCCAGTGTATAAGGTCTCGCTTATAAAGTTTAAGAAAGTTAAGTAGTAAGTAGACTTATCCTTGGAGAGATTGATTTTCGAACTTAACCCACAATGTATCTCTTGAGGGATGAGCACGTAACGTTGCTCTAGGTTTTAAGTGTCTAATCTGATCCTGAGTTACTGAAATAGTATGGGGCAATAGGAAAAACAGCTCTTAAAACACATTTATTTTTGCGAAACGTAACCTGAAAACAGACTACATGAGAGTGATAGAAAAGTAGAGAACAAGCAATTGATATGTTAAACAACTTGATATTCGCAATTGATGGAGATAAACATAGAGATCAAACCCGAATCTTTGTGAGATATTACTTTTCACTAAATGTTCATCTTTCCTCTCCATCCACGAAGGTTACACAATTCCAAAAGGATGGAAAGTTTTTGCCTCCTTTCGAGCTGTACATCTCAGTCAAGACCACTTCAAAGATGCACGCTCTTTTAATCCATGGAGGTGGCAGGTAACCACCTTATCTTCCTGTCTATCGTTTATCTCTTTGTTTTTCTATTTTGTTCTCAATCATATAAATAATTATTCAAACAGAGCAATTCAGGAGTAACAAGCTCAGTGAATGTCTTCAATCCATTCGGAGGGGGTCCAAGACGATGTCCAGGGTACGAGCTTGCCCGAGTGGAACTCTCTGTTTTCCTTCACCACCTAGTCACTCGTTTCAGGTAATATTCGTCTCATCCACTTGCTAGCAAAAATTACATTGTACTCAAAACCACCCAAAAATCAACTCAATCCAACTGTATATGATCATCAACAGTTGGCTTCCCGCGGAAGAAGATAAGTTGGTTTTCTTCCCAACCACGAGGATGCAGAAGCGCTACCCGATCATTGTTCAACGACGACATGTGCCGAAGCCATGTAAAGAGATGGAACAAAGCCAACAGTAGAAAAAAAAATGGTTGATCAAGAGTGTAGGAAGCAAAGCTGTGGCCTGCAAATTGAAATAAATGCAATTATATTAGTAGTAGTTTTAGTACATAGTTTTAGTATATACATAAGATTGATTCTATACAAATGGCTTGGGGGTGGATCTAATTATCATTAGAAAATGGAAACAAGGCAGCTTTGTATTGTCTGACCCAAGTACAGCAATGCACAGTGGGCACTTTGGAGAATTATTTCTACATTATTGGAAGGGAATCGAAGAAAGTTTAGTACCCTACTCTGGTTTGGAGCATTAAGAAAATGGTTCCCTGAATGGTTGTCATGAGTAAGATTGCATTTGCAATGTGCGCAATATGTTTTTTTAAGTGCAGGGTCCATTTTGTTTTCATCCTCGAGCTCCTCAAGTGATGCTTACACTTTTCATTCTTCTGGGGCCTAGCCAATGAAGTAATATGTGATAATCAAATAGACATGGTATGTGTGTATGTGATAAATAAATCAAAAATTTCTTTAAAAGTTTTGAGTCTTAGAGACCGTGTTTCTGCAGATAGATCTGATCATTCCTAGACTAGTAGTGGCTTCTTTATTGTATCTAGTTTCTAAAACTTTAATGGAATTTGAGAAAAATAAGTAATAAACATTCTAACATCTACTTTTGAAAAGATTGATTCTTAAACTCAAACTCGTGATGTATTGATAGAAACTTTTTATGTAATGCACAAAAGTGACCAAGACCCAGAGTCCCACCTTGCCCCTGCTCGCATGGCTTCTCGATGCAAACTCCACAAGACGACTGCTTCTAGTCAATTTAACGAAGCATTTTTCTACTTTTAATCTTAGTAATCATCTTTTTATTTTCAAAGACGTTCAAACGAGTTTAGATGGTAGACATCTTCTCTTTGGCTTTTTGTATACCTTTATCAGGTGTGAGATGTGATCGACTTGGACATTATTCTTCTTCTTCCTCCTCCCAGATAAATTGCCTCTGTTGGTCTAACAGGCTGCCTTGTGGAAAATGAGTTTATCTTTTCAACCTAGCATTTAAGGCTTTAATGACAGAGTGTGTGTAACAAAAGTGAAGGAAGGTATTTTGGAGATGAATTAGATAAGAAAGAGAAAGATGGGCAAAAGGATTGGAGAGAGATGAATTAAAGAAAAGTATCTGGAGGCGAAATTACCATACCAAATGAAAGGGTTTTTCTCATAAGTGTGTAACGAAATTATTTAGAACACAATGCATCGACAACAATGCATAACCCAAGTCATGTCAATTGGTCAAATATTGGTACAATTTCTTGGATGGTGGATTAAAAGATGGTTGTCAATGATACAATATAAGGCTGTTTTTAAACGTCAGCAAAAATTTTACTCAGATTTAAGTTTGTTTTGATATATGTAATTCAATGGACAAACTCAATAAATGTAAGAATCTTATACATATGTGGAAATGTAAGGTTACAGACATACCTTATTCGCTTTAATTCCAAATCGTTTGAGGATGTTCCAAGATTCTTTAGAATTAAAAAAAAAGTTATTTTCTTTGATTATTCAATTAATATAGTGTTGTTACACAAAACAAATCAATACCTGATTTTCACAGCACAAAAACCTTTCAATGTTATGTAGGAGAGAGAGAGAGAGAGAGAGAGAGAGAGAGAGAATCTAACATTAAGAGTTTTTCAAATGATGTTCGTTCATTACTTAGCCTTTATATCGGTAACTAATAGGTGCTTTGGAGAGGGACATGTCTATTAGTAGTTTAACAAACATATCTTTTGGGTCGTAAATGACTCTTTCAAGAGTCATGTCCCATGGACATTCTCTAATTGGATCGACCCATCATGGACGCCTCAATTTAAGTCTGTGACTCAAATTCAATATCTAACATGCATAAGAGAAGAATCTACCAAGGTATTTGAATAAAAAGAGGAATAAAAGTAAGAGAAAGACCGTCAACACACAAAATAAAATAAATATTCCAAGATTTAAGTGAAAATTCAATTCTCTTTGAGTCCATTAGGTTAGGAAGAAGAAAATGATGGAAAGTGAAAATGATAGAAAATATATTTTCATGCATATATTTGGTTATAATTAAAAATTTACAGGAAAATTTTACAAAAAATTATTTTATTGTTTGAAAGAAAGTAAAGTAATAAGAAATTTTTTATGATTATTTAAATTACCCTTAATTATATTAAATTGGTCTAAAAAAGAAAAAAAATATGTAATTACAATTGAACATTAGTTTTTTTTTTAAAAAAATGGCTCGAAACTTAATTCTAAGACAATTATCAACACAAAGATTTTTGGCCCAAATTATATGATTAATTAAATTAATACCAAAATTTTTTAAAATTAATAACTAATAAAATATTTTTTAAAAAATAAGGATAAAATGGGAAGTTAGCTATAGATCACAATTTTCTTGCATTTGCTTGTATTTTTTACAAGAAAAAAAAAATTGGTTATTTGTGAGAAAATTCAAGCATGAAAGAAAATTATTTTTTTTATCATTTTTTTTTCATGCTAGCCAAACACATTAAAATTCTAAAAAATTTCTCTTTTTTGTATTTTCTACCATTCTCCCGTTAAACAAACAGACAGTTTAGTTTTAATATTAGTTTGGGTTAAAAGACTAGAGGGTGATTTTTAAACCTATTTTTATTCAAATTTAATTTGGATAAAAATTTAGGGGAATTTGTGTAATTAACCTTAATTTTTATTTTATTTATTTTTGGGAGGATTACACTCAGACTCTTTAAGGTTTGTCACTTAATCATTTAGATCCTTTCACATATGAAGTATTTACATGCATACCACTTAGATCCGTCAATGTCTATCCATTAGTAAATTATACCTAGATCTCCTAAAATTTATAGACACGTAATATTTAGACCTTTTAAATTTAAAATATTATACTTAGAGCATTTCCAAGAGATTAGCTATTTGATATTTGTTAGTTAAAATAAAGAGTCAAATCACAAAATTGTACTCAAATGGACTAGCTATTTTACGTTTGGGCTAAATAGCTCTTTTTGCATTCCAAGGGAATAACTATTTTGCACTTGATGACGTGTCAAACTATGCAATATTTTGATTTAAAATATTAATAATAATTAGCTAAAATAGAGAGTATTGTTGAAGTAATTTTGTAAAAATGAGTCTTTAAAATAAAGAATGTAATATTTTAATATATTTTGAGTAACTATTTTGAAGAGTACCCTTGGAGATGCTCTTACACCAAAAATACTTGAATCAAAGATAAAATATCAAATATTTTAAATTTTACAACTAAAATTCATATTCTATGGTATCATTTATTGAAATAAAATCAAAAATAAAAATCTAATTTTTTTAAATTAAATTATAAGTAGTATACAATTATACTATCTATTGAAATAAAACTAAAAAATCAAACAAGAAGTCTAAGTCATTCATAACAGAACAAGAATTTTACAACCAAAATTAAAGTTATATTATACCATTTATTGAAATAAAATTTTAATTTTTCTTAAAAAATCATAATTAGTATACAATTATACTATTTATTAGAATAAAACTAAAAAATCAAAAAATTTGTTAAGCTGTAATAGACACAATATCTTATAACTTTAATTGAGGTAATTTGGTACTTTGATTTGGTTGTTTAAATGACCAAGTTAAATTCCAATAGATAGTATAATTGTATACTAATTATAATTTTTTAATAAAAATTAGATTTTTATTTTTACTTTTATTTCAATAAATGACATAATAGAATATGAATTTTAGTTATAAAGTTTAAAATATTTGATATTTTTGATTGAAATATTTTTGGTTATTCCAATTAAAGATAGAAGATGTTGTGTCAATTACAGTTTGATCTCTTGTTTGATTTTTAATTTTATTCCAATAAACGGTATAATTGTATAATAATTATGATTTTTTAAGAAAAAATTATATTTTTATTTTTAATTTTACTTCAATAAGTATCATAATAGAACATGAATTTTGCTTATAAAATTTAAAAAATTTGATATTCTATTTTTGATTGGAGTATTTTTGGTCTAAGTATAACATCTTAAACTTGAATGGTCTAAATATTACACTTTTACAAACTTTAAGGAGTCTCGATAAGTCTTAAGTGCGTACAAATTTTAGGAGGTACGTGTATAATATTTTAAATGATAAACCTTAGAGAATCTTAGTATAATTATCTCTTAGTTTTTCTGTGAGAGAATTACACTCAGATCTCCCGAGGTTTGTTATTTCATTACTCGGATCCTTAACATTTAAAATATTATACATAGATCCCTAAAGTTTGTACACATATAATACTTAGACCCCTTCTGTCAATAAATTACACATAAACCCCTTAAAATTTGTAGGTATGTAATATTTAGACCCCTTAAGTTTAAATGTTATATTTAAATAAAAAAAACTCCAATAAAAAATAGAATATTAAATAATTTAAATTTTATAACCAAAATTGATGTTCTATTATATCATTTACTGAAATAAAATTAAAAATAAAAATATAATTTTTTTTAAAAAAATTTATAATTAGTATACAATTATACTATCTATTGTAAAATTTATGTTCTACTATGAATGACTTAGATTCCTTATTTGATTTTTTACTTTTATTATAATAAATAGTATAATTGTATACTAATTATGATTTTTTTTAAATTAAATTTTTATTTTTAATTTTATTTCTATAAATGATACAATAGAATATGAATTTTAGTTATAAAAATTTAAAATATTTGATATTTTATCTTTAATTAAAATATTTTTAGTCTAAATATAACATTTTAAACTTAAGAGGTCTAAATATTATACGTCTACAAACTTAAAAGAGTTTGAGTATAATTTACTAACAGATGTGACGGTATGGTCTAAATGTTGTGCTCGTACAAAACTTATATGTAAATAATATTTCAAATGCGAAAGAAATTCGAGTGATCAAGTAACTAATCCTGGGACATTATCCAAGGTGTTGAACTCGGCCCCCTTGGGCTTGAGAAATTATGCGCCAATGAGCTCTATACAATCTAAGCAGTTCTTTCAGTCGGTCAACTAATTAACTGAAACCCACGAAGAATCCCCACAAAGGCAAAGTGAAAAACTTTCCCCAATTCAATGGCGGAGAAATTGGCTCCCGAAAAACGCCACAGCTTCTTCCACAACGGTGCGTTTTCGCCAATTCTGTGTATTTTGTTTTGTTTTTTTTTTCAATTTAATCGATCTGAGGGCAAAACTCTTGCTTGAATCGCAGTTTCCTATTGTTCTAGGGTTTGGGTTTTCAATATTTTGTTGGGGGTTTCAATTTGTTCTTCTTTTTTTTTTTTGGTTTTTTTGATGGTGGACGATTAATTTGTTCAGGTCAGAAGGTTTTCGAATGGGATCAAACGCTGGAAGAGGTGAATATCTACATCACTCTGCCTCCAAACGTACCTACCAAGGTCTTCCATTGCAAAATACAGTCCAAACATGTTGAAGTTGGCATTAAAGGCAACCCTCCTTATCTCAATGTCCGTACCCACATACCCATTTTCTCTTTCACAGATAATCCATATGCATCTATAATTGTTCTTTTGTTTGGGTGATTTTACTGCATATTCTTTGTTTGATTTTAAAATTTGCAGCATGATCTGAGCTCTCCGGTGAAGACTGATTCTTCATTTTGGACTATAGGTATGGGTTTATCAGTTGTTATAGTTTGTATGTTTGACAAATGAATGGGAACCGTAATCTATTATTGCAATTTAATGTTGATGTGGTTTTTTAAATTGGTTTGACAGAGGATGATACGATGCACATAACCCTGCAAAAGAGAGACAAAGGCCAAACATGGTCATCACCTATTCTGGGTGAGGGTCAGCTCGATCCTTACTTAGCTGATCTCGAACACAAGCGCCTTATGCTTCAAAGATTTCAGGAGGAGGTATATGCCCTCATTCTGTTTTGTACTGTACTTTCTTTAGTATGCTATTCCATGCTGCACTGCTTTTGTCTGCCTAGTCTTACCACGTGAACTTTATATATATATATATATATATACAGAATTGAATTTTCTGATGCTAGCCTTTCCACAAATGGTTATACATGTTTTGATTGCTCCTCATTTTACCCAATTATAATGTGATTTCAAGGTATTATCCCCATCCCAATGTGATTTGTGCAATGGCTTTTTGTAACCCACCCAACTTGGTTGGCAGGCAAACAGAGAAAAAGAGAAGCAACTTCTTGTGAGTCTTTTCAGTTTATTGTTCTTAGATGTAGTCTTCTGCTCTCCCTCCCTTCTATCTGTAGTTGTATTATCCCCGATATCAGTTTCTTAGCAACCAAACAAAGAGTGTCCATAGAGGCTCGCTAGTTAGTTGTTGCAATTTGTATGTATAATTGGTATGTGCACGACTGGCTTGCTCTTTTGATGTTGCAATGTGCATCTGTATTAGGAATGCACATGAATGTAGATGGAATCTAGGCATGGAGAATTTTGCAGGCATTGATGGTTTCGTGATTCTCAAATGATTACGTCTGATCCTCATATTCAACTTGAGAATAATCAATGTGCATGTTATTTTCATATTCTTTCTTGATTTGTCATAAGTTTTTGCACCTTGTGATGAGAGAAAAAGTGGGTCTCACTGACCAAAATTTGTGAGGACTCAAATAGCTGTGATATTCAAGGCAACCTGATTATTGGTCATTATCGTATTGTTACTTTTTTGCTTCAAACTATATTCCATTTTGATTTCTCTTTAACATCATGATAAAGTCAGATTCAGTGTGAATAGTACTTGATAACGGATATCAGTAAGTTTCAGTTTCAAATTTAATTTAAACGTTGCTATCTCTACGGTTTGCTGTGTAATGCCTGTGCTTATCGGAGAGTTATAATGGTTGTAACTGAACCCATGTTATACCTCTTGATTCATCAGATTGACTTGTGTCCCTCTTTAACCCTGGCTGTTTGCAGAACCCAGGATTTGACTTCTCACAGGCTCAGTTTTCAGGAAACTGCCCTGATCCGAGGACATTCATGGGTGGGATCAAGTCTGATTGACAACTCAACTTGAATATTTCAGTAGACATGCATACCTGGGATCAGGTCCTGTTGACAACTTGTATAACCAAGATAATATGTACATTGACTCTGTTTTATCTTAACCCTCTAGTAAATTAGATGGTGAAATTGGCCTTTCTCTAAATTCTGCACAGCGTGCTAATTCTTATCAGCTATTCATCAATGCTAGCATTGTGCAGTTTTCATGGCCATATGCTTCTTGTGCTTCTTTGTAAGTTGTTATCTTATTATGTTATATGATTTCATTTTGACACCTTGTCTTATAACTTTTCCAGCACATTTAAATGCTCAAGTTTTGAAATATAAATATGTCCAATTAGGAAAGAATGTACGCACAGCAAGAGTTGGAATTCCTCATCAAACGGGTGATCTCAAGAGAGTTTCATGGTATATATTTATACTACAAAATATCAGGAGATTCATATTGGAGGATTTCGAGGTTGACAGGCCATGTAGTGAGAGTGACTGGAACTGAAAGGCACTTGATATGTTCAAAGTCTGACTTTCTGGCAGGGTTAATTTTGGGAATCATGCTATCATATGCTTGCCCTTTGGTAATACGGAGAATATGTTTTGCATTTGGTTGGTTGAACTGTGGAACTTGGCAAAGATTTTTGAAGACATAGTGAGAATCCTTGCCAGGGAAGTGCTTATGCATAAGGACTTTTGAGTTGTGAAGGGTACTGACAAAGAGAACCTAATGCAGTCTATTTCTGTTACAGATAGGTGGGAGATTCAAATCTTGGCAATGATACAAGAAGTCTGATGTTGAGAGGCCATCCGATCAGTATAATTGGACATGACATGCCCTGGAATACATGTCTGGTTGAAAGACCATAACTTAAACTTTCTGGTTGGGCTTTTTAGGTTTAATACACTTCCCCTGTGATAGTGCTGTCATAAATTTTGGGGATATTTTTCAGAGGTAATAGTATGAACCCTCATGAGGGAAAGTGCTTATGCTGTTGGTAGATAGAATAGAAGGAATATGTTTAAGAGGAATGCTGGTTGCACTTGCTAATATAGGAACACAACATGATCATCCATAAGTACCTATGAAACACGGACACGTCGTTGAGATTGGCGAACTAGTATCAGAATACGTATTGGATACTCCTCCTATGTATTCCATAATTATAAAATATTTGAATACTTTGCGGATACTTTTGTATCACAACAATATGTATAATTTTTGAATTTAAACTTTAATATCTCCTTTTGAATTGACATACCATGTAATATATCAACAAAAATTCATACTGCTTTGAGGACACGAGTATATTTTAAGTATTATCTATTATTATATGTCAAAAGAGCATAAAATGAATTTATTACATTATAATCTTATAAACCAACTAAGTAAATATTAGTTTTGATTTCTTTAATTAATCATTTCATTTTGTAAATATATCATAATGATATGTTATATGTTTTTTTAAAACTAAAAAAAATTGCAAATTTTCCTTTTTATGTTAAAGAATTACCAAATATATAATTAAGTTTATAAATAATAGCAAAAATATGAAATATATTTTGTTATAGTATCCTGACTATATTCGTATTGTATTTTTTTAAATTTTGTTGTATTGTCGTATCTGTATTATATTGTATCTGTATCTCGTGTTCGTATCCATGTTTCATAGATAAGTACTATGTTCTGATATGTAGGATGCTGGGCAGTAGACAAGGTGATCGTCTTGATAATTTTCGTATTTAAGGAGTTTGCTTTACTACCGACTTATGCTTAGGTTTATATATAGTGGCCATTTGATTTAGAGGCAAGGGAATGAATTCTGGTGTATATCAATGTTAGGTATCATTCCAAACACATCTATTGGACCCGTTATGCTGGTGCAACAGTAGGATATTTGAGTCAGGACTGTATTGGTTTCTGATCTGGATTGAGGAATCTCCATAAGCTAGGCTGTTATTAGTCTCTAATTGTGCGCAATGCTGATGTGGTTGAAAAAGGGTTCTACAATTTGCTTACCACTTTGATGTGGACCTAGTTGTACTATTTATTCACGTTTAATGCTACTTAAACCTCCTTACGGAAAAAAAATATTACTTAAACTTAATTTGTCGGTCCAATTGTGTTAGCGGCTACTGTTACATTGATGGTGGTCCAATATTAGATGAGTTCTATTGTCAATCCAATGACAGCAGTGAACTACATCATTGCGTCCAATTATTCTTACTGTTCATTCTCTGGTTGACACGTTTAATGTGAATTTTTTAGTGCCTTATCATTGCTTAATATTCTGGACCATTTCCTTCCTTTTCTTCCCCTGCCACATTCACAGTGTGATCTGTCTGTATATCTGAGGATCAGATTTGTTTGTTTATCCTTTTTTTTTTTTATCATTCCTAAATGTGATAGCTGTTGCTTGTTAGTTGCCACCACGTCCTAATAGTGAGTATATTTTCTTCCTTTCTTGTGGTAGTGAGAAAGCAAGCCTGGCCTTGAGACATTAAAAAATTTTAGGACTTGAGAGAGGTTTCAAGAATTTAGATATACAAGTGGAGGTTGGGTCTAGATGTTTTGATGATTTCATTGGAATGGACCTTGGGTTTGAGATCTCTTTCAAACAGTTTATTAAACGTGTCGATGATTGCATCTGGGTAGCTCGGATAGGAAGGCTTTATGGACAGTGTTTCGAGATCTCAAGTTCGACTATCGTAAGAGAGCAGTAGTTTATCTTATGCACGGATTATTGGTTTTTTTTCTTCCGCTTCCTCATCAGCGTTCATCAACCCATTTTTCGCCTTAACTCCCTAAATAGGAAGAGGGGTACTTTACAAATAGGAGCAATTGCTTTGCACCTAACTGTGATAGTCCTCTCGATACTTTATTGGAACTTTGTAACTAGTGGCCGGTGTGTATCCAGAGTTTATATTGTAGTCACGAATCGGAATGATGCGTAATTGGAACGATGCTTTCTTCTTTTGAAAAGACAAAAAGGGGGACTGAAACTATACAAACATCATACTTTGTAACTAGAGCAGAATTTCCTTTCAGAACGCGTGACATACTTTTTGATTGTAAAGAAAAAAGAATTTTCTTTACACCTGGTTGATAGTTTCACAGGCATCTCCAAGCCTTCTTTATTCACACCATGCACAGTTTCTTGAAAATGCTATATCATTTTATACTGATTTAATAAAAAATCTGTACATTTTGGGGGAGAAACATCACTGGGTAGTAGTGAGATATCCAATGGTTGATGTGTCACTAAAAACGAGCTCGACAAACTCGACTTGAGTTTGCAAATCTCAGCCCGATTATCAGCCACAGTTGCTGCGTCTTCAGTGACATAATAGCACTGTTTTACACACATATACATAAATGACATCGTATATAAAGGAACCAGTGTTCTACTCTATAGCCTCATATTTGTATTTCTACTGCTTTGACCACCTGATTACAGATCTTCTTTGGATAAACCTGCAAAAAGAACAGAGCCATTGCAAAAGGCTAGTTAGTTGCTGTAACGAATCTGATTCATATAAGCTATATTACAGACCATCCAATTGTTTCTGGTTGGGACAAGTCTCGCAAAAGACGTGTTTATCAACAATCCACAAGTTCAAAAAACGCGTAGTTGGGACGGTTCTTAAAGAGAATTACCCGGGGAGTGATAGAAGAAGATAAAAGATTCTCTGATAACATTACCTGAAACCTGGGTCTGGAAAAATGGATGACCAAAACAGCAGAAACCCCATATTATGAATGGTGTTCTTTATGTTTTTTCGTCATTTCATTCTCTCTTCTAGCAGAATCTTTTGGTATCTAGAAAGGACATTCTTGCATGCTGAAACCTGTGCACATTGCCACACAATGTCAAACATCGTTGAACATCAAACTTTTTTTTTTTTTCTTTTTTAATCTTTGATAGTTTAATATAAATTAGTTTGTTGGTTATGTTTTACCGATGAAAAAGCATAAATTCGGGTGGATTAGATAAATGGATGGACGGTCATAGGTTTAAGTGTTACTGTACTTGTTTAATAAGTTTTGCTGCATAGTATCTTAAGAAAGAAGAATCTTTCATAATATTTAGATCCCTTCAAATAAACTCTTTTAATTTTTCATTATTTTATTTACCATAAATTCGAATGAGACCCATCATATATATTTAGTGAATTTCAACAAATAGATCTAAAATTACGGGAAAAAAAAGGTTAAAAGAGAAATTGTATTAAAAGAGTTCAATTCTGAAAGTAATTAGCATATTCGTTTTCTTTATTGAACCCACTATGGTCTACCCTCTTTCTCAATAATAGAATTGAAAAAATTATTTAAATATAAATTAATGTTTTAAATTTTGACACAACACAATTGCATGATAATTATTTTTCCTGGTCATGCTTATAAGGCAGTGGGCCATGGCAACGTGCACGCCCGAATTTCCTACCTGGAAATCATTAATTATTCCGGAGGATCCACCTAAACTAGACTTTCACATGGGGTCGATATTTTCAAAAAAAAAAACTCAAGTAAAATGACAATATTACCCCCAAGGATTCACTGAATTTTCAATTGATTGCTACAGAAAGATAGGGTAGGGGAGAGATTGAAGACTTACAGCTTCGATATCAATTTTGTAAACAAGAAGCTTCCTTCTCTCTCTGCAACTAATCCTGTACGCTACAACTACGTGGGCAATCGCCATAGCCAATGAACAGACGAACAATGCCACCTCCATAGCTCGAACGTACCCTTCTCGATCGACGCTCGAATGGTCGAACACATACGAAGCCTTCATCGATACAAAGATCAAAGATGACACAGAACACGCCGTTGTAATTCCCAAATACGGTCCTCTTGAAAGCCTCGGACCATCACACAAGCTATAAACACCTAAACACCAATACAATCAACATCTTCATCAATTCCAAGTAAAAGTGTGTGTGCGTGACAGAGAGAGAAGGAAAATAACTGGGTTTTTTTGCTGTACTTACATAATATGACGGCTGATCTGATGATGGATATGAGGGGTATATCGATAAGTGAATAGCGAAAATCGTAGTTGGTGAAGTGAGAAGAAAGGGTTTGGAGAGAGAGTGATGAGGGGGACAGAGAAGCCGATAAAAGAGCCGATGGAAGAAGGGTGTCTGCGATGACGAGAAGAACTGGTGCGGAGAACAAGAGAAACGAAATTAACATGGTGATTAAGAAGAAAACAGTCTTCAATCCTCTTGAAACTCGCTTTGTTCTCTCCTCTTTTGAGAAACCCATCTCTTTGTCTGTAATTTGATGGAGATTGTATGTGCGTGAGAGAGACAGAGAGAAGAGAGGGACGGAGGGTACGAATGAAAAGGTTGGACTTGGGAGGCTAAGGGGGAAGGCTTAAAAGAGAGAGAGAGAGAGAGAGAGAGAGAGAGAGAGAGAGAGAGAGAAGGTGCAATGCAATGCAGGCCAAGGTTCGATGTTTTGACTGGACTTGTCTTTGGACAAAAGACATCGAACTTTACACGGGGAAGGTATCGGTCAAACAGAGGAAGCTGCCTCTCTCTCTCTCTCTCTCTATACCTGCATTAACGACAATACCTAATTACTTTCTTAATGACAATGGAGTATAGCATTGTTATATTCAATCTTATTATTGGGTAATTTTGGGTGTTCATATTCTACAATTTGAATCATTACAACTTGGACGGAAATTCATACGTAATATTCGACTCAACATCAACCTCTAGATTATGATTGTGGTTTGTGGGGATGGGATTGGGCTCAATTTTGATCCTACAATTTCTAACTTGATGTCTGATTATATAGAAATACATCTTGACGTCGCTCAATTCTATTATGATATTGAGTAAGCAAGTTAAGATTCTTAATATTTCAATTAAAGCTTGAACAGAAGAACCATTACCCAATAAGAATTTCGATAATACTTATGAATTCAAATTAAATTGTATTTCAATTAAAGGATTGTAATCCAAGATTGAAATTTCAATTTCAATTTAAAAAATGAAAAGTTCAATATTTTAAATATGTATGTTACTTGAGTTGAAAAAAAATCATGTGTGGACTATACTCGAAAAAAGAGTTTTTACGATTTCAATTAAATTGATTTAACCTCTCAATTCATGCTTTGACCCCTTGCGACTTGTACTTATTAAATCAAATGGTGGTACATCCAATAGGTTATCCCTGGATTCTATCTTTCAAACTATGGAACTTGAATCCAACATCATAATAATTGTAGGATACAAGAAATGGTAACCAAGGTAAACAGCTCATGGCAAGTTATGATTTCCACATTGAGATTTCCATTTTCTTGTCTATAATCAGCTGTTATACTAAGTTGGTGTACGCCCTCAGATAGTATAGGATCAAGGACAAAACCTCATCAAAAATTCAACAAATCCAACATCATCAACTATCTTTTCTAATTGAATTAAGCCAAAATCATCGTCAATCCATCCACATTTTTAACAAGTAGATCTAATAGAATTGCTTCAAGATCGTCAACAACTAATTTTTTTTTTGGTTCAACGGTTAGGAGTGGTCAAACAAGTTTATACATCAGGATTAAGATATTTATGAGGGATAAATTCCTCGTGGCCTGACCTTAAGAGATTACTAAAATTCAAACTCAATATGTCAAACTTTACAACTCGTCTCTGTTACCACTTAAACTAGGACTTCAGGTTTGCAACCTACTAATATCATTAACTTTAAGCTCCTCTATCACATGCTGGTGGAGAGTTTGGGTCAAAAGGTGTACAAAGCACCTGATTTTACCCCTTAATTAGCTTAACATGTTGAGAGCATCAAGAGTCAGTTATGTTAGTTGTTTAGAATAATGTTTCTCATGGGAATTTTAACAATAATCTGGCGGGTATGGTGGAAACCACCGAATGGATCATTTGATCACATGCAATATTTTGTCCTTTCGAATAATATTGGTAGTTTTTATAAATGATTTCAGTTTCTTTATACATGTGTTTTTGGTTTTTGTGTTACATTAAACATTGATGTTAGGTAGTGTGGACAGATTGTTTGGAGGTTAGCTGTTTGAAAAAAGTTCTTAACCACGATAAATAATGAGAGGAAAAGTAGGCATAATAGTCCTGCAAATAACTATAATTCTATGTGGAAAAAGATTTGGACATTTTTCAATTCACACGATCTTTTAAAATAATTAGGAAGTATTCGGATTTTCTAGAACATTCTGACTAATCCTCCTAAATACATGTCCTCAATCCGTCTTGCATGCATTAAGCCATTAACATTAAAATTCTTTGAGTATGAGCATAAGATGGGACTCGAATTTATATTCGAGTCTCGTAGAGCACTCAACTACTTCTCTCAAATACTAGTGCATTTTTTTTTCTTCTACATACTACTTGTTGCATCATTTGAAAATTTGAGAAATGATTGTTGACAAAGGGAAAAGGGTAATCTTCAATCTAAGAAACGCTATTAAAGAGGAACAAAGATTGTAGAAATGAAACATTTTAATTTTCCAGTAATTAGCCAATGATGTGATTTGGCTCAAACATGAATCGTTTATCCCAAATTCACAAGATTAGACAATAAAATGTGGTAGTTTATTGATAATTATCTGTGATTAAAAACATACCCAAATCACGAATGACGATATTATAATTTAAACAATGAGATTTTTTGGGATTAAATGACTAATATAAGACCCATTAACATATCCAAATCACAAGATTAGACAAATGAAACATGCAGTCAATGATGTGATCAAGATCAAACCCGAATTGTTAATCGGATAAATAATTATTTTACATGTTTATAAATATTTACAAATCAAGGATAACAATACCGAGATAAAAAAATATATATGTGAGATTTTTTTGGGGATTAAATGATTAATATAAGACCCATTAACTTATATATGTCACGGCTGTTGTCACAACATTAAAAGGGTGGAAGATAAGGACCAAAATGAGATTTCGGTGTACACACCACAGAGTTGACACTAAATTAAAATTGCTTTATGACATAAGAAAACTTGTGTTTTGTCACGGTGGGAGTTTCTTAGCAGCCTTTTTGTTTGGTCAGAGCCAGACAGGTAAGTTTTTTTTTTTTGCTTTGGCTTTCGAAGGAAGATCAGAGGCTTATTGTGGTGCCCAAACGTGGCGCTGTTTAATTTGAGCCGCCTTTGGCCGGGGTTTACGAGTCCATCCATTGACAGACTTCGTATAACTAATTTGGTGGACAAACACTTACAAATAAAATTATCTGTAATAAAATAATTTATAATTTAAATTTCAAAAATAAATAAAATAATTTTTTAAATTTTATTTCAAAGTTAATCTAACGACTAATATTAACACTCTATATTTAATAGAAAAAATAGGTCACTAACGATGTGTTTAGAGTGACTTTTTAAAAATACTTTAACGAATTATTTCTCATAAGTACTTTAAAAAAAATAGTGTCTGTAATTGTACCACCACTACCTCTACCACCCCCGCCGTCGCCGCCACCATCGTCACCTCTACTGCCACTGTCGTCGTCGCCGCCACTGCCACCATCACCACCACCACCACCGTCGTCGCCGCCATAACCACCACCCCATCCACCGTATCCCATCTATGTTTATGATTTGATTTTAATATGAATACAAATATATTTATTATTTATCATTTTTTTATTCCTGTGTGCCTTTAGGCACAGACAATAACTAATATACCTATATAATAAAGTAACTTACAATTCAAATTTTAAAATATAAACAAAATAATTTTTGTTATTCGCGGTTGAGACCGCTTTAAATTTTATTTTAAAGTTAATCTAACGGTTAATATTAACACTCTAAATTTAATAGGAAAAATAGGCCCTTAAGGGTGTGTTGGGAGTGATTTTTTAAAAGTACTTTTAAAAATTATTTTTCATAAATACTTTAAAAAAATAGTGTTTGAAACCGTTCCACCACTACCTGTACCACCCCCACCCCCACCACCACCATCGTCGCCGCCACTACCACCACCACTGTCGCTGCCACCGCCACCGCAGTAGCCACCACCACCACCATCGCCACTACCACCTCCACCACCACTGCCACACGACTTACTTCTTGCTCGTCTCAGCTCCTTCTTAAAGGACTTGACTTCTTTATTTACTTTTTCGAATAGAGTTTAATTTAAAAGAGTTTCTTCAGCTCTAGTTCATTCCTACATTCTTCCTTTCGTTTGCTTTTCTGTCCCCGTTTTGAAAAGATAGATCGAAGTTAGGTTTATTATTTTGTTTTTAGAGAGATTGATTTCAATTTTCATCTATCATGGAGTTTAAAAAGAGTAGGTACTAGTTAATTTATCTTTTTAGTTTGAAAAAATTAATTTCGAGGTTTAAATTTAAGGCGTATCCAGATTGTTAAATAATTATAAACACTAGTCATCTTGATTCCTTAATCAAAAGTTCAAAACCATACTCAAACTTATATTTGGATTTAAAAAAAAAAGCTTAAAAACTATCTCAAATCTTTGACTCATACTAATAAGAAAAACTTTTTTCTTGATTCAAATTGAGGGAGAACCAGACCTTTTACTCAAAATTTTTTGAGCCAAAAAAAGCCCTCTTCTTCTCTATGTGGTCTACAAACCAGACTTCCCCACCAAAACTACCGGCAACTCCTCCCTTCACAGCACCCATAACAATACCCTAACCCTATTAATCTCTCCATCAACCATAGCGTTTGATGGACCTAATTCAACTTCGAACTCGGATACTCAAAAACCACCGATCAAGTTGCGGTGAGGCAATTTGGTATTCTAGTGTTATCGGCATGCTTCGAATTTGTTGAAGTTTTGAGTTTTTTATGTTGTTGGCATCGATAAAGCTTTGAGTTATTGGTCTTCTGGGAATCCATAAAGCTTGGAGAGAGGAAAAAATTAAAGAAAATAGCTTTTAGAACAATATAGGAATTTTTTAAAAAGATTTGAGTATGAAATTAAAATTTTTCATTGAAGGAATTGATATCAAATTAAATATTTTACTCACGTTTGAGTAACATTGGGGATGCCCTTTCCTCACTTATTTCAAGAAATTAACTAAATAACCCATACAGTGGATAAAAACATTCGTTATCTTTCAAGTATTGACGTTGGTAAGATTTGGGCACTTCTACATTAAGATTTTTTCCTCCCATTCTTCATTTTGGTTTAAACTTGGAAGAAAATAAAAATCTTATATACGAATTTCTATAAATTTCAATCCATTTCTGGCTTTGTTTGGTGAGGATTTGAATCCATTTTCCAATTTTGGTTGATTTCTCTATATATTCAAAGTAAGAATTGAGAATTTAATGTTTTTACTTGAATCCAAATGTCAATGAGTTTGGCATAATTTTTGCTAAATTTTAGAACGTGGTATATTTATAAATTTTTACTAATTGATATCATATTGTTTGACGATAAATGACACACGTCCATCGAACAAAGTCAAAAAATG